CCAGCCAGGTCACGATCTGGCGGTCCATGAGTTCGAGCAGCAAGGGCTCTGGGCTGATGGCTCAGAGCCTGGAGCCCAACTGTTCGATTCTGTGTCTCCTCTCTCTGCCCTCCCCGTTCATGCTCTGTCTCTGTCCCAAAATAAATAAACGTTGAAAAAAAAAAAATTAAAAAAAAAAATTGCATTGACGCTTGTGGGTGGCGAGATGGCAGTCCACCAGCCAGGTTCGTCACGACTTCAGCAAGGTCGAGGCTGTGTCCGCAGTCTGTGAGGCCCCGGCCAGGTTCTGGGCTGATGGCTGGAGCCTGGAGCCCGTGTTTCGATTCTGTGCTCCTTCTCCCGACCCTCCCGCCGTTCACATGCTCTGTCTCTCTCTGTCCCAAAAATAAATAAATTTTTAAAAAAAAATTTTTTTAATAAAAGAAGAGTTTTGCTGAGTTTCTATCACAATATTTCCATTTGAAAATATTGAATTTTCTATATGTATATTTTACACTGAGATAAGTCTAAATATTTTTTTAGAACGCAAACGTTTATTTATTTTGAAAGAGGCGGAGTGGGGAGGGGCAGGGAGACAGAGGATCGAAAGCAGGCTCCATGCTGGGGCGCAGAGCCCATGTGATGTGCAGACACCTGAGCGAAATCATAACTGAGCCATCAGCCAGAAGAATCTAGATAGTTTTTTTTTAGAAGGTGGCTCATTCTCCTTATATATGCGCTGATCCTCAGGTGGTATATTTTCAACAGTTAGGCATCAACCGCCCACACCGCTGTGATTGTGCTTATTCGGCGTGAAATGACCTCATGGGTTCGTAGGGACCATGGATCAGTTGGAAACTGGAACTGGCTGTTGTTTCGACTAAGGATATTAGTCAGAGTCTGCTAATAAAGTGTGGGATATCGGTGTTATACCATGATTAGGTTCGTTTGGTTCAATAGACTTTTGATTCATCAGTTCGTTTCCTGAACAAACAGTTAACATTTTGGCATGTTTCCTGCATAAAATTTTAACGCCATTTATTGAGAGCATGGGCTATGAGTGGGCAAAGAGACAGAGGATATATCCGAAGGTCTATATGCTGGGAGTCTAAGAGCCCCATATATGTGGGCTTGAACTAATATAATTCGAGCCGAATCAGGAGTTAATATATGGTCGCTAACTGACCGATATATTTTTTCATCCAGGCTCTAAAGTCTATATATGTAGATAGTTTGTAGTGTCTATATCTACATACCATACAACCGAGGAAGTCATTGCCAATAACAGTGGCGCCACCATCTGCTTACCACCCATAGCCACTTCCTTTCAGCGTGCCTGCCTGTGGCACCGCTGCCTGCAGCCAACCTCAGTGTGATTATTCGCCATAAAGACAGAGCTCAGTCGCCCAGAACTGTGTTGTGTGTGTTGATACATTTCAACTAAATTGTGTGAAATGAATGTGTGCTCATATGTGTGTATACCGTGTGTATATTGCCACCGCAGTACTTATTACAAAGTTTGCTACCATTTTTTTTGATTATGTGTATGTCCTAAACACATTTGTGTGTCAAAACAATGGCACAATGAAGTTGGGGAAGATCTTGAAAGCTTGGTTGAAACAATTTGGGGATCTTAGACAGTGCTTTTTTTTTTTCTTTTTTTGGCCAGTTTTACTGAGATCTATTTCATATGCCATAAATTCAGCCATTTAAAGCACACAGTTCAGTGTTTACTATACTCATAAAATTGGGCAACCATCACACAATCTAATTTTATCCCATTAAGAAACCCCACTCATACCTGTGATGCACTCATATGTTCTGTTCTATTAATTTAATTTGTTGTGACTCTTTATTCACCAAATTGATTTCATGACCCTTATAATATATGTGACACCCCACAGTGGGGAAAAAAACGCTGAGCTCAACCATGCAATTATATGTTTGCTGGTCAAAGTTCAGTGAGTTAATCATGCAAACTTGTACAAGAAAATGATGACTTTATTTTATATATCCATGCTTTCCTTCTTGAGAAATTAAAAAACTGACTACATTTCTTAATAACTTGAACACATTTTAATAAATATCTTAATACCAATGTTAAAGACACTTTCCCAGAGAAGACATTCATGGCTAACAGACACATGAGAAGATGCTCAACATCACTGCTCATCAGAGAACTACAAATCAAACCACCTGACAGAATGAAATTAACAAAACCCAGGAAACAATAGATGGCAAGGATGTGGAAAAAGGAGAACCCTTTGTTGAGTTATGAAGAATGCAAACTGTGAACAAACGTGGAGGTTTCTCAAAAAACTAAAAGGCTTATGACCCAGCAATTGCACTAGGTATTTATCCAAAGGATGAAATGATGGAGGGCACATAACCCCAATGTTTACAGCAAGGCAAGACAACAATATCAACCAAATTATGGAAAGAGCCTATGGAAACAATCCATCTGATGAATAAAGAAGATATGGTTTATATATATACAATGGAATGTTACTAATGATCAAAAAAGAATGAAATCTTGACATTTGGCAACAACATGGATAGAATTAGAATGTATAATGCTAAGCAAAAATAGAGAATGGCAAATATCATATTTCCTCATATGTGGAATTTAAGAAACAAAACAGATAAACACAGGGGAAGGAAGGAAAATAGGAATAAAATAGAGGGAGCAAACCATAAGAGACTTAATATACAGAGAAAAACTGAGGGTTGCTGGAAAGGTGTTGAGTGGAGAATGGGCTAGACGGTGATGGGTGTTAAGGAGGGCACTTGTTATGATGGGCACTGGGTGTTATATGTAAGTGATGAATCACTAAATTCACTTCTGAACCATTATTACAACCCACGATATGTTAACTAACTTGGATTTAAGTTAAATAAATAAATATTAAAAATAATAAAAAAAATCGACCACCAATTCGTTAACAAGTATTTTAGCCATGATCACTGAATAGTCGGAATGTGTATCACTTTCCATATCAGAAGGTATACACTCATATGTTAATTATGTATTTCCTAATAGATGGACACTGGATTATATGTAAGTGATGAATCACTGAATTCTACTCCTGAAAAGACATCACCTATATGTTAACTACTTGAATTTAATTTAAAATTTTAAAATAGTAATGTTAAATTTTAGGTCTACAAAAACCTAACAATGATTAACATTTTACTTCATTAACTGAAAAGAAATTATTTCATAACTAAGACACAAATTTCCTGCAACTCTTAACAGATACATTAGCATTCAAGAAAGAAAGAAAGAAAGAAAGTTGTTAAAAGAAAGAAAGAAAGAAAGAAAGGAGGGAGGAGGAGAGGGAAAGAAGGAAGAAAGAAAACAAACAAGAAAGAAGAGAAAAGAAAGGAAGGGGAAAAAACTCTTGGAGAAAGGCACAAATGACTGTAGCAATCATGATCCATATTCCTGCTCTCAGTCAATTTGCAATTATAATAACCTAAGACAACATGCTATTGTTTTCTCATGATGGTGGAAACGTGACATGACATGACATTTGCCCAACATCCAGGTAATTTACAAATACTAGCTGCACAATGTTTGACCTGGGCACTCAAGAAGTACAGGCTGATAAGCTGGGTTTGCTTAGTTAAGGATTAATTTAAATACCTCAGTCTGGGCTCAGGATTTAACTTAAGGGTTCAGTATATACTAAGAACTTTCACATCCTTATTGCAGGTTTCAATAAAATGCATTCAACATGTTCATTACCTGAGGAGAGAATAAATATACCAAGTGGCAACAAAACTATCATGCAACATGGTGGAAGTTTTTTCCAAGTCACCAAGAAGAAGAAAGGAGGATGGAATAGTGTTTATTTGGAAATAAGCTATACTGACTGCCCAGGGAAATTGTAATATTTTCTTGGGCTTATTTTTTTTCTTGTTTTTTTCAGGGAAAATACATAAATAAAATTGATCTATCTAGGAGTTTAAATGTTTTGTTACTTTGTGAACCTTGTATTTTTTTTCAGCCTTATTGAGATGTAATTGACATATAAATTGTGTAAATTTAAGGTGTACAACATGTTAATCTGATATATTTATATGTTGCAAAATGATTAACACAATGGCATTTGCTAACATCTCCATCCCATCACAATGACCATTTCTTTTCTGGGGTGAGAACATTTAAGATCTACTTTCTTGGCAACATTCAGGTATAATGCAGTATTATTAGCTATAATCACCATGCTGGGTATATAGATAGCTCTCCGCCGAATGTAGTCATAAAACTGGAAGTTTCTGCTCTAAGGAGTTTAAATATTATCAAGTGGGCGCAACACTGTATATTAGATTCCCCTCTGGCTCCAACGTTGGACTTCTACATTACCCGGTGCTCAAATTGCCTAGAGATCTGTCTAAGGTTTTGGATTTAAGGAATCCAGAGAATCTGTTTCAGAGCCCAAGTGGATGGGGCAATTATACAGTGTATTTATTCCGGGCTACTGAGTTACCATTCCCACTGCATATGAAAGCCCAGGGGCTACACTGCATCTGCT